GGAGCAAGGCCCGGGCGGCTGCAGCCGCACGGCCGGAGGAACAGCAAGGCCCAGTATGCAACATTTTATTGCGGGGCTCCCCTTTTGCCTATCTAATTCCCTTTTGAAGCCGTCCAGTGTCTCTGCTTATTGTCACTCTGTTTTGTCATTTCACAGGAACAACTGGAGGCGTACGACTTCACCAAATTCCACTCTCTGAAACCGAAGCTGATCGAATCTGTGGACAACATGCTGTCCTCTAAAGTTGCTTCCCTAATGAATCTGATCACCCAGGAAGAGCGCAGCATGCCTACGCAGATGGTGCACGGCGGGGCATTCGATGGCACCACAGCAGGACCGTTTGACCACGGCTATGGGGAAGGCGCCAAGGAAGGAGCTGGTGAGGAGGAATGGATTGTTGCCAGAGATAAACCTGCATACGATGAGATTTTTTACACCCTGTCACCCATCAACGGCAGAATCTCTGGGGCCAGTGCAAAGAAGGAAATGCTGACCTCCAAACTGCCGAACAGCGTCCTGGGGAAAATCTGGAAGCTTGCAGACTGTGACTGTGACGGCATGTTGGATGAGGAAGAATTTGCACTGGCAAAACATCTCATCAAGATAAAACTGGAGGGATATGAACTCCCCAGTATCTTACCTCCCCATTTGGTGCCTCCATCGCATAGAAAATCTTTGTAGATGTAGTGATAAAACATGTTGTTAAAATGTTGAAGGGGGTTAGCCATGAAAGCCATGTAAATGTTTTAACACTCCTGATATTACAGTTATTGGCAAGGCTTTTTAGGGCCACTTCAAACTAAAGCAAATACCACTTATTTGTTAGTGGGGAAAATGGAAATCCTCATGTGTAACATTACTCCGGGAGGGAGCAATTTCAGATGCACCTTCCCAGTGTTTGTTCAACAGGTATACACTCAGTAAAATACACATGCATAGTGGTCATGATCAGGGGTCATTTCCTGCAGGAGCGCACAGGAGCAGAGCTCCGGCAGTAAAGAGCCCAGGGGGCAGGCACATGGAAGAAGCCCCGCCCCCTGCTCCCAGCAGCCCTCAGTCAGAGCAAGAAGCAGCCAGGTAAGTTGCAGTGGGTGTTGCCTTCTGACACACTTCCGGTGATGTTGGGGTGTGTGGCATATGCAAATAAGTTATGCTGATGAGTTATGCTAATGAGCTCCTGCACCTCTTTTTCTACGAAATGACCCCTGGTCGTGATAGCTTTACATTCTGTGATACAGAAGTGCTTTCCAACACTTAAAGTAGCCCCAAATGTTCTAAACAAGTTACAATGAGTAGCATAGCACAGGAGGGACCTGTGCCTGCAGTTCTGGAAGGCCTTCAGTGGAAAGCTTTGTCACAAGTGCCTTTTAAATGACCCGTAAACGGGGGTTGGGGGAGAGAGCAAGGAAAGTTGCAGTTGCCATCTTTCACTGTGCTTATAATCAAAATGCCGAAACGGGTTTGGATAGGAGTGATGTCATTTCAGTTATACCAAAACAAAAACCCACAACCCTTTAATAATGCAATGCAAGGACTCCATTCTTTTAAAAAAATTAAACCACTCTCTTCTGGAAGGTATCAGTTTGTACTAAGAGTAGCTGAAATGCCTTCATGATATTCAGAATCCACCAAGTTTTATTAGGGCGTATAAAGATGTATTTTAAGTGTGGGTTTACTATTTGGAGCAGAAGTTAAAAGCACGTTTTGAACTAAAAGTTGTTTTAAAAATACTCTATTTTTTATTAATGTTTTTGAGGGGGGAAAGGGAAAGTTTAATGGAACAGATCATTTGCACAAATCTCAAACTCAGTTCAGGAATTCACTTTGTTATAATTATGATGATAATTAATATAATTATATTAACATTTTGAAAGGGATCAGTTCTAGAGCTACTGAAAAGAATATAGCTTTTGCTTTCCAGGAGACCACCACTAGATCAGATCTAGGGTCCATCTAATCCTTCCACATGGATTTCTCTGGTCCCCTTTAAAAGCCACCAAAGGCTGTCGCCAACATCGTATTTTATGGTGGTGAATTGCATAGGTCGATTTTACATTGTGCGATGAAATACTTTCTTTGGAATACTGTGAAGGACTGGTAGCACCAGCAAAAAGGAATTGGTCTTTCATATGTTGCAGATATTGAAGCTTTCTGTGTACAAAAGCATCCAACTGGTGGTTTTAATCACAAAAAAAGTATTGCTTTACTAGGAAGGTTAACTACATGTGGATATATGTTTTGTCAATAAAGGGAGTGTTGACTAAAACTAGTGGATAGTTTTTTATACTGGTAAAACTGGTTTGCAGTTTATTCTTGTTCTTATGTTCTTAAAAGTATGCTAGCACTCTTGAGGTGTGAAAACGACACCAAATGTAGACACCTTTTTTGAAGATGGAGTCAAAAGGCTGGGACACCCGTGGGAAAGACAAATGCAGATTCAGTCTGTGAGGTAGGTTAAGATGAGAAAGAGAATCAATGCCCAGTCTGTGAGCTGCCCTCAGCCCGCTTGCGGGGAGGGGGGGCTATAAATCTAATAAGAAAGAAAGAAATACACTTAGGGCAAAGTGCAGCCCACGCTGGCTCTTCGGCTTTGAAACGGAGATGAGCACCGCAACCCTAGAGTCGGATTCGACTGGCTTTCGAGCAAGGGAACCTTTACCTTTTTAACATATTGGGGGGGGGAAATACGCATTGATGGGGTCTGAACTGGCAGAGACTGATCAAGAGAGAGATCTTGGAGTTGTAGTAGATAACTCACTGAAAATGTTGAGACAGTGTGTGACTGCAATAAAGAAGGCCAATGCTATGCTGGGGATTATTAGGAAGGGTATTGTAAACAGATCAGCCAATATCATAATGCCCCTATATAAATCAATGGTGAGACCTCATTTGGAATACTGTGTGCAGTTCTGGTCACCACACCTTAAAAAGGATATTATAGCTTTGGAAAAAGTGCAGAAAAGGGCAACTCGAATGATAAAAGGGTTGGAACACTTTCCCTATGAGGAAAGGTTAAGGTGCTTAGGGCTCTTTAGCTTGGAGAAAGGACGACTGAGGGGTGACATGATTGAGGTTTATAAGATTATGCATGGGATAGAGCAGGTAGAGAAAGAGGTACTTTTCTCCCTTTCTCACAATACAAGAACTCGTGGGCACTCCATGAAACTGCTGAGCAGTCGGGTTAGAACGGATAAGAGGAAGTCCTTCTTCACCCAAAGAGTGATTAACACATGGAATTCCCTGCCACAAGAAGTGGTGGCGGCTACAAGCATGGACGGCTTCAAAAGGGAATTTAAATAGGCATATGGAGCAGAGGTCCATCAGTGGATATTAGCCACAAGGTATAGATAGGGGCTCTGGGGCAAGTGATGCTCTGTCTTCTTGGTGCTTGGGGGGGGGGTCAACAGTGGGAGGGCTTTTAATGTCCTGGCCCCACTGGTGGACCTCCTGATGGCACCGGT